ATTTCGATGATTTGTTGCACGCACCAAACAGAACCAAATGTTTCAGGTTTCATTTTAGCAATTTAAAAAAATGGGATTTCTGAACTAAAATGTAAATTCCTGACGTGATTTTTACACACGACATATGCAAAATAGTTGATTATTCTCATGGCTCTGGTGATGATAAACGAATGCAAAAAACAAAACAATCACGATCTTTCAGCAGTAAATTTGTCTTCCAAATTGGCTATGAATTTGCAATTACTAGATCGAAACAAATAAAACGCAAAAACGATTGGATGATTGTATGAAAGCAAATTTCTCACTGGTTGTCGTACTGCGGATTGATGGACTTAATGACAACTGGTGTGGTGCGTTTTTGTGGTGGTTGTGATCCATCGACACAAACCAATTTCACTGATGTGTACGGATCTGCTGAACCGTTTTTGTCTAGTGGCCGTAGATTTCTACAAACAAATGATTGCTCTTCAAAACCAATACACACATCTGGGGAGATGACATCTTTCTAAGATAACACCAAACATCGTTGATAAAAACTGCTCAATTAGATGATTTGAAATTCATTACATTCTTCTGAATTTTTCACCAATATCAGTACTAACTCTTCTCCATATCAACCACATGAATTAGTGCTACGAAGCAGAGATTCAGCATACATCAAGGGAAATATGAATTGAATCAGTTTCCAGATCATCTACTGATCATGGACGACATCAAGAACATAACATCTTTCAACCGCATAACAGTTTCTTATCACTGAGCAGAAATTCCTTCGCAGATAACGCATATTACATTGAACATCATCAATGTGCAACATAACACAAATCAAACAATGACTGCATAACGATAAAGATATCAATGAATCTAACGCTAACCTGGCACCATGTACTTTAACAAGCAATTTGCTGTCTTCTTTCGAATAACGAAGACCCATTTGCAGTTGACCTCTCGAAACAGAACTGCAATCACCACTTTCGTCAACTCTGTCATCACTGGATAACAGTTCATTACTGGTTATCATTGGATCACTTCAATTATACATCACAGTTTCTTCTCATCATCATTTTCAATCCACACACTTCAC